CTTTCCCTTACCCTAAAAGCATGAGGATTAAACTGTTGTTACGGGACTGTGATCTCTGGATTTCTCATATCTTCCTACTTGTCCTTTAGAAACACACACGCATACAGCCTAAGAGAAGCTGGCCACGTTCTCCTTTTATTTTAAGTCCAAGATACTACATAGACGCTAGAAGCACAGGACAAGGTATTCACGCTTCCTTTTACTCTGCAGCACGGTGATTGGAGGGGACATGAGAGAGGAGAGTGGAAGAGAGAGGGACAATTCAAGCCCAAAGGAAAACCTGGGGAACCAATCAAGTATTTCAACAGGAGCCATCCCCCTGCGGGACAGTATTTTATACACCTTGCTGACTGACATTTGAGGAGGCCACCACACCCATGCATTCTCAAGCACCAACCCCAGACCTCGCAGGGGTTTTTAATTAATGCCAGTTTTACACTAATGTCTTTGGTGTGTTTTGCTTCCTTAAGGATGGCCTAACTGCTGCCTATCTAAAGGTGATTTGGATATGGCTAGGAGGGACTTCCCATCCTATAGTCTGCAGAGGGAAAGATATGCAAACAATAAAATTAAAACCAAAACACTTGATTTTTCAGTCTCATCTCCCATTATAGTAAGAAATTTCACACTGACATAGTTTGAACCTGGCGCTGAATTGGAATAACACACTCGAATTAATTTGATTTGTGTGAGGCTTGATTTCTCAATGATTCCTGGCTGTCTGACACATCGCTGAAGGAAGCAGAACTAGCAGCAGCTGGAATTCCGTTTTTTGTCTCTTTCTGAACTTTCAGGTAAAGCATATTCATGCTTGTTCACTTGAACAGCAAATCCTGGAACAAAGCGTCAGAAAAAAAATCTGTATCCTTCATGTTCTTACAGCTGTAAGTGTTGTGGGAGTATCGTTTGTTCCCCCATCCACAATTTTTCCTTCTTAGACCTCTTTCAGCTCTTCAGGAAATATCCTATCATTTGAGGACTCCTTCCTCCTTTCCACCAGTGCACCCAATCCAGCCTGGAATTTAAGGAAATCTTTGTGAGATATAAGAGGCTACATTCATTTAGGAGTTAGAACGACAGGGAAGTTATCAGGTATGTGGGTGCCATAGGTTTCTTTCGAGTCCCTTGAAGCCATGTTAAAGAAATTTTTTACCATTCCCCCCCCCCCCCCCCCGAAATTTGCTACTCTCCAATTTGTGCTATCTGTCTCAGAAATGGGTAAAATGGGAGCTAATGAACTCTGGTGGGAAGGTGGGGCGGATGCAAGGACCATCTTGAAATATCCTCATGGTGAAAGCCAGGGTCTCATGAAACTTTGTCTTTTGAACCATCTTGACTGAAAAAAAAACCAGCCTTTGTGACAGAACGTTGTTGATTTGGCAGATGGACCAAATGAGATGGATCTTACAGGCTGCTATGTATTTCCCAAAATGATCTTAATGGCCTTTAGACCTACTTGAAATCAGTGGAAATGAAATGCTCAGAGCCTTAGGTACTAAAATAGCACTTAAACACTACTGAGAGAAGGAAAATCCAAACTCAGGATTTTCCTTACATTGCTTACTGGCTGTGATAAGCACTAGTAAGTGGTTACAGCCTTTGCATTTGTATCCGTGAGTATGTATATTCTGACTGTATATCTACTTCAGCAAAGGTTGCCTGTTTGGGAGCAGAGCTTTGCGGAAGTTCTGCCTCTTGTTTGGGCAACCTTACTCCTGTGTTACAGAGACCTGATGGTAAGCCCAAGTCTTGGCAGACACTCTGGTGATTACCCCAGTAAACACTGGCTGGCAGCTATACTGTCATTCTCAGTGCTTCTCTTTGGGGTAGTGTGCATTTTCATAGAATCGTTAAGGTTGGAAAAGACCCTTAAGATCATCGAGTCCAACCGTTAACCCAGCACTGCCAAGTCCACCGCTAAACCATATCCTCAAGCACCACGTCTACCCGTCTTTTAAATACCTCCAGGGATGGGGACTCAGCCCCTGCCCTGGGCAGCCTGGGCCAGGGCCTGACAGCCCTTTCGGTGAAGAAGTTTTTCCTAATATCCAACCCAAACCTGCCCTGGCGCAGCTTGAGGCCGTTTCCTCTCATCGTATCACTTGTTACTGGGGAGAAGAGACCGACCCCCCCCGGCTCCAGCCTCCTGTCAGGCAGTTGCAGAGAGCGATGAGGGCTCCCCCCAGCCTCCTCCAGGCTGAGCCCCCCCCGCTCCCCCAGCCCC